GGGGGGGGGGGGGGGGGGGGGGGGGGGGGGGTTCTGATGAAATGCTGCTTTAATTAGCAAAGTAGCAGCTTTACACACAAGCAGCCGACCTTTAAAGAGACGAGAGGAAAGCTTGGACAGTGGGATCGACGTTTGTGTGCGAGAGCGTCCGTGATCGAAACCGATCATCATCATTTTTGTTGCTTACTCGTGTCACTTTTCTTTTTACTCCTGGTCAGATGAAATGAATGATGGTCAGTTTAATCACAGTTCTATCCTTTTCCATCACTTTCATCTAACGTGTTGCTCTATCTATAACAGGCGGGGATACACCAAGAGCACATTTTCTTTCCGTCTGATGTAAAAACAAAACAACTTTTTTAATTCCTCACTTTGAGGAATTATGTACACGTTTAAGTTTTCAAGATGGTGCAGCGCAGTATAAAGTTATCATTTAAGTTACAGACAAAGCAAAGAATAAGTAACTAGTCTTGTGATTTAACTTTAATGTACCGTCCACATTCACGCCAATAAAGCTTTTCTCAACTTTATAGACCCAGTTAGGAAGCAGCCAATTAAACGTGTAGTAAACACGACAGAGACATTTTAGTGCTTGACTGTTTTCAATACTGCTAGTACACTGTGGACACATTTCACATTTAAAGAAACAACACAAGGCATCTTCCTGGTTTCTGTCAATAAACAGACAGAAGGAGACAAACATCACTCGTCAGGTGTAACACCACCTGCCTGCCTGTGTGAGTCCGAACATGAGTCACGTTCTTTGTTTACATTCTCAATGATCATGTTGGGGCAGTGGCTTTGGAGGGACAGCCGTCAGTGTTGGCCAACTTTCTTGTTAGATGTAGCAACCTCTGGAGTGAGTGCTGCAGCTACTCCCATTGGAAAAGACTTGGCAACACTGGGAAGAATTTTCCGGTTGGATAATTTTTTAGTGCTCTTGCTAGTTTCTCAAGATTACCGAACCTGCCTTTAAAGGACACAGAGCACCTTCTACCGAGACACACATCTGACTCCAGAGTCAGCTGATTATTCTTGGGCACACATTGCTGTGTTTCCCATCACTTCAAACCCAGGTTTTAAAACACTCCGTAAACAAACTAGCCCGAGCGACCCACGTAGACGGGGACGGTTTGAGGATGACAGAGAGGGAAATCCTCTGCCCCGAAGTTCACCAGCCACCAGCTGGTCCGGCAGTGACATGAGACGGCTTTAACACAAACAGGGGGTCACTGTGGCCAAACACCTGCAAAACAACACCTTCCCAACACACACACACACACACACACACACAAGCTTGCACAGTGTTCATGCTCTTACAAAAACACTCCCATTGCTCCATTACTGCAGACTTACTCACACTTTTTAGTCTTGTCCTATGTTCACAGTGAACAGTAACAACTGGAAACATACTATAAAGCCAGATATGAGCAGTCCGAGCTGCCATGATTTATTTGGACAAGCAGTGGTAGCACACACACTCAAAAAAGTGACTTTGTCACGCAAGGAATGGCTCGACGGGAGCGTTAAGAGACGAGCTCCTCGTAGACGTTTTGCTGACGGAGTTTATAAGATCCCACTAGTCTCAGGTTTTAGTTGAAAGACCGGTTGTGGGGCTGCAGGGCACGCGCACACACACTTTGTTGCAGGAAAACAACACTGTTTGGAGAAAGCCAGTTGCACACACTTGCTCCACAAATACACAATGATTGATGATTGCAGTCAAAGCAGCTCAACAAAAAGTAGCAAACTGTCACAGATTGACTTCTTCCCTATCAGAGGATGTTGTTAGAGGGAAGTGTAAGTGTTGAGATTAGTAGTGCCTGTAATAGGATGAAAGTGACGATGCTTTTATACATGAACAAAAAAAGACAAAAGGGGGAGAAACGTCACCTAAACGTGGGGTCAGAAAAGAGAGAAGGAAAGACACAGAAGAATTAGGAAAACAACTAAATGAACAGAGATTCTAACAAGAAAAGAAAGACAGGGATTTAATAGCAAGCTATGGAAGAGCGCATGTGTGTGTGTGTGTGTGCGTGCGTGAGTGCACATGCCGAGTCGGAGTTGGCTGGGCCACCCCACCCTGTTTAATGTCACTCTGACGTCAAAGCCATGTGTGCAGGCCCTTAATGCAGACAGGATGGAGCAAGTATTTATTTAACTTTGGTTCTCCCCTCCGAGAGAGCAGGGCCCTCCATAAACACAGACTTCAGAGCAGTTTGGCTCATTCATAGCCGAGCAACAGCCAGCGGCGCTGAGATCATCGCGCAGGACCTCGGGACTGCTCTGCGCAGGCGCGGCAGTGACGAGATTCAAATGTCGGAACACGTTGAGAAAGACTCGGGTGTCAAATCAGGTGACATGCCTCTCAACCAAGGATGCACATTCCTGAAGAGACTTCCAAAGAGAAGATCAAGACACGTTTACGCGTTACCAGCGACTGGCCTCACATCATCCCCTGCTCCCCGTGTTTCCCGTCACTCTCTGCTGACAGCTATCCAGCAAAAAAGCAAATGCGACACAGCTTTGGCCACAGATGAATGGATGAGCGAACATTACACTCAGCTCATTTAAAACAGCGCACGGTAACCAAAGCTTAATACGATCCAACAGTCTGTTATTTCTTTTAAAAGGGGACACAAAGTGCCAATTGTGAAATCACTCGGCAGCACTGTGAAATCACTCGGCAGCACTTTGATCTCACAGTAGGGATGAATGCACCAACAAGGTTTACTTTAAAGTCCGGTTCGATGTATTTAAGATGGAAAATACACAAAGAGAGGGAGTAGACGGAGAATACTTTCATGCCGCTTTTGTTTGTATGTCTGAGAGTGTGGAGAGAGATATAACTGCATCCATGAATGCTACATTCACGGGTCGCTTCTGTTTTCACATTATGCTCTTAATGCAAGTGTAGATCAAATACAGTCAAACACCAGCCCAAATGTGCTCCGCCCCCTGTCCTCCCTCTCTCTCCTTCATCTCAAGTGGGAGCCGGTACACTGTGGAAGTATTGTCTCAGGGCATTTCACAGTTCCTGCAGATTCTACAAATTCAGACTTGAGATTCATTCACTTTTTAAAAAACAGTTCAAATAAAGCTCATAACGTATTTCACACAGACCGTATAGAAGAAATCCTGTGTGACTGATCGGCATCTAAAAGCTGGCGATAAGTTGAATTTATAGAGAAACCGGTGAAACCCAAATCAGCCAACAGATGTGTTATAATAGAGCGCATTAAATATATATTATATCAGCAGATATATTGGCTCATAAGTCTCAAGAACATGCAAGATAGAAATGCCAAATATGTGTTTGAGGTAATAAAAGAAGTGCTGAGATTATATCAAATATGGATGTCATTATCATCAACCTCAAAATCCAGTATCGGTCTCGATCGCTCAAACTGATTTTTTCTAGGAATAAAAAAAATCTGTCTTTTATGAAAAGAAAATGAATATCCTTTGTCTGGCCAACGGTCCAAAAGCTAAACACGACAGCCAGCCTTCTCAGATGTTTCCGTGAACACAGAGGCGTGCGGCGCTGTGTCTTTCACAACCCGTCTTCATTTGGCATCGCCATATGGGAGAAGCCGCTCGCCCATCTGATGAACACATGTCACAGCCACGAGGCCGGAGACTCCAGCTCGTCTGTGACAGTGACAGACCGACCATCTTCACACAATCCGCTTCAGGGCAGGTCGGCTACGCGTCGGCACACAGTGCCTTATAAATGAGTGCAAGAAGCTTTAATTACCTGAACACTAAAGGCATGAGGTTAAAGATCAGCTTCAATTTAAATACAATACGCTGAGCATGAAAGAGAAAAGTAAATCAAAGCTAAAAAGCCAAACATGGTGTTCGGTACGCCACTACATTTTGGCACCAACAGCATCTAACTTTACAAACACTGATTACAATGTTTACCAAGTTATTTTTGGCCAATGTAATCATACCCTGAATATCTGGTGCCAGCCCATACCTCGCGAGAGTCACCGTCACACACACACACACACACACACACCCCTGCAGCAGTCACATCGGTGGATGTTCGGATCGGACGGCCGCTCTCTAAAAAACACGACTTACATTGTCGGAAATGAGAAGAGGGTCACGCATAGTTTAGGGCCCGTCGTACTGTGAGCACGCACACAATGGAGCCTGGCCATGATAAACGAATGGCCTGCTGCTTTCCCA